GAAACCACCCCTCAAATATTAGAATAATTTTTATTTAGAAACCGGTGAGTTTTTCGGAAAAACTCTTAAACACGTATATTTTATTTTGTTTTTTTACATATTTTAAGATTTTTAAAAATTTATACAGGGCGTTTCATAAAATATGACCATTGTGTAATCACGATTCTGCTTAAACTGCTTGACGTTTAAAGCGGATTTTTGGCAAACGGATTGACTGTGGAGTGTAGAGGTTCGATAAGGAGGGGTTTCTCGAATCTCAAATTCCATGAAGGTGAAAACGCCCCTCAAATATTACAATATTTGTTATTTAAAAAACGGTTAGTCTTTCGGGAAAACGCTGGGAGACGCATAATTTATTTTGTTTTTTTACATATTTTGAAATTTGTTAAAAAATCATACAGGGTGTTCCAAAAAGTTGGGTAATTGATTAACCACGATTCTGCTTAAACTGCTTGACGTAAAAAGCGTATTTTTGGCAAACGGATTTTTCGGAAGTCAAATTCCAAGGAGATGAAACTACCCCTCAAATATTACCAAGTTATATAATAATATCGCCATATTGTTTTTTCTCATGCTGACATAAATGTGAGAAAATTTTATCCAGTTTTTATGTCAATGGAAATTCCTGCTTTGCTTTATCATCATCATTACAAATGATTAATTCGACGCGAACGAAGTCGCGGGTACACGCTAGTAACGTATAAATTTGTTAATAGTGTATAACTGAATTTATATTTGAGTGGTGCGTATGTATTTGTTACTAGAGTAAACAAAAATATGTTTGAACTAATAAAACTGTAATGTCTCAAATTAATGTTTAAAATAAATTACATTTTTTTTTACTAACTTTATTTTATCTTGTAAAGGGAAATTAAAACAACCTTCGTTGCAAGTCATCAATGACACCATGCGTCGTCTTATGGAGTTTGCTGGTGGTCGTATTATGATGTGCAACCAAAGTTGTTTTAATTTCCCTAGTAGTATAATTATTATTTAATAGTTATTAATACAAATGAAGTATGATATCTTGGTAGATCCATTTGTTTTTTTTTCATAGCCGCCCGATTTGTTTCAGGTGATAATTTTAAAGAGAACTATAAAAAAGTCGTGTAAAAAGCGTGATCTTTTGTTACAAAGGGTGAATGAAAATTAATGTGGAAATTCCTGCCATTAAAAGGTTAATAAAATATGTCCTATGGAGATTACGATCTGTAGAGTGTTTGTACTGATAGATAAATCCACAGGGTATTGTTTATATTACAGCTGATTAGAAAGTTTTTATATAACTGAATTTATAGGAAGGTATTTGATTGTTGCATATACATTTGTTACTAGATTTTTAATATAACAAATTTGATTGAAAAAAAATGTGAGAAGTAAAAAAGCTATAAATATTCAAATTAATATTTTAAATAATTTTTTTTTCTAGTTTTAATTTATTCTACAGTAGTATAATTATTATTTAAAAGATATTAATACTCAGTTATTAGTACAAAATTATTTAATAGTTATTAGTATTTTAAATGTTACAAAAATAAAATATGAAAACTTGGTAGACCTAATATGTGAATTCAGTTTAAAACTTCTTTTATTTATATACAGGGTGCGTCTCAATTTATAACTTTTTTATTTTTTCAGTTAAAAAACGAGCTTCAGTATGTTAGTATATGACATAAATTAGGATTGATTGACGGCGTATTTTATTGTTTTCGGTCATTTTCTGTGTTAACGGATATAATTACAAATTTTTAATTTTTAAATGACACTTTTGGTATCTTTTTACTTTATTCGATAGAAAATGACACTCTGAATAGAATGACATTTCATATCTCAACTTTTGACATTTTCGTATATATGGTTTATTTGAAATTGTAACATGAGGTTCATAACGACAATAAGCCTCGAAATACCAAATGTGTAGTGTGTAGTATCAAATTATTCATAAAAAAATGCTTTTTCCAAATATGCTAATGAGCCACCCTCATTCCATTTGAAAAAAATGAGATATAAATAAAAATACGATTTAGGCATTTTTTAACCGGCAAAGACATTAAAAACATTATTTTAGACGATCAAATCTATTTTTCCAAGGCTCCTTGCTTAAAAATTAGTGTTGGCACTCTAGATTGAAATTTAAAATCCGATTTTTTATTAAGCAAGAATGTCAAAAGTTGACATATGATATGTCATTCTATTCAGAATGTTATTTTCTATCGAGTAAAATAAGTAATACCGAGAGTACCATTTAAAAATCAAAAGTTGTATTAATTTCCGGTGAAACAGGAAGTGACAGAAAATAATTGAATACATCAATCAATCCTAATTTATCTCACCTACTAACATACCAAATCTCGTTTTTTTATCTGAAAAAATAAAAAACTTATAGGGGGTGAGCTACTTTTGAGACGCACCCGGTATACAGGTTGGTTGGTTGGTTAGTTTAGTCTTTAATAAGTACAAATATTTTTAGGGCTAGTATAGTTCGACCCCAGGAACATGTCTATGATGTTTTTTTTTGCAAAAAATTGAAAATTTGGAATGGAAAAATTTCGATATGACAATATTAGGTAGTAGATTAAATTGACAGGAGAGAAAATCCAGAAAAGGTCCAGTGGTTCTCAAAATTTAAGCAAAAAGAAATAATTTTCCTTCAATTTTTCGAAGTAAAATAACTCAAAAGTGATTTTGGACTTATTTGAAAACCGATAAAGAAAAATATCGGTCTCATATTGTAGAAATCAAACAAAGTAATAAACTAATCTAGATTTAAGGCCTAATAACAATGCTAAAAACATAGTTTAATCAAGGAATATTAATATATCTTTTAGCATTTTGATGTTTCACTTTTACCTGTTTGAAGACACCTAGTGTTAGCAAGACGAAGACCAAGCATTTTAGTAGCCTTGGTCCAGTCTTGCAAGTCCTTCCTTCCTAGTCTTGCAAGTATTGCACTGTTTTGATAGAATTTAACTAGAGGCAATTCCTACATAGAAAATCTTTAAAACTATTTTTTCAAGTATTAAAGCATATGAAATTTTAAAGATATATACAATATTTGCCTGATAAAATTTCAATATTAGGGTCTACAATATGATCGAAAAAAAAACGGCACCTGCGATGGCTATGAAATCTATGATGTTAGCGATCTATGAAGATCGCTGTCATTCTATACAGGGTGGCCCATCGAAAACGTTCCGCAAGGCATAACGGCCAGGGTAATTTTTTTTTCAGAAAATTCAAAAACACGTCAATTTTGTTTGTGAGGGTTACAACTTTTGCCCCAAAAATGATTGCAAAATCTTCAACCCTCTAGGCGGGGGTGTCATCTCCCAATTTTTTTCAAATGGGAATGGGGGTTAAGTGGTACCGCAATGAAAAGGGCTTTCTATTCTCTATAGTTTCCCGCTTCGTTTTTGAAAATCGGTCGAGTCATTGAGAAAATATGAAGGATTGAAATTTGAAAAGATTATTTAACCATTTATCAGAGTAAATGATAAGGATAAATTCCTTCGACCAATTTGTTGTTTTTTCTTATTATTTTTAGATGTTTACGCATTTTTTCACTTGCCACAAGGTTGAACGATCAGGTGCGATAGTTGCTAGATAGCTGTTCTGTGACTTGTGCATTGAAGTTCTTCTCAATATCGTAAAGCATTTTAACAATTATGGTGTACTCACTTGCAGAAAAAGTGGAAATAATCAAACTTTATTTTAAAAATAATAAATGTATCGTTCGCGAGATAGTAGCAAAATTTCGCGAAACTGGTTCCGTTATGAATAAAAAGAGGCAGAGGGAAAATCCTGTAGTAAATGAAGCTATGGAGGTATTCGTACTGGGCCAAGTTGCCATGGATAGTACGCTGAGTACAAGAAAATTAGCCAATGAGACCGGCGTGAATCGTACGGTACGGATACATGAAGTGTCCATAAAGGATATTAAAAAAAACACCAAGCTCCATCCGTACAAAATTCAGTCGGCACAACTGTCGGTACTGGGCTGAGGACAACCCCAGTGTTTTTCACGAGGTGCACACACAAAACCCTCAGAAATTGAACGTGTGGGCTGGTATTTTTGGAAATTCTATTGTGGGTCAGTTTAACAATATTGAGAAGAACTTCAACGCACAAGTCACAGAACAGCTTTCTAGCAACTACCGCACCTGATCATTCAACCTTGTGGCAAGTGAAAAAATGCGTAAACATCTAGAAATAATAAGAAAAAAACAACAAATTGGTCGAAGGAATTTATCCTTATCATTTACTCTGATAAATGTTTAAATAAACTTTTCAGATTTCAATCTTTTATATTTCCTCAATGACTTGACTGATTTTCAAAAACGAAGCGGGGAAATATAGAGAATAGAAAGCTATTTTCATTGCGGCACCACTTGACCCCCCTTTCCGTTTGAAAAAAGTTGGGGGATGACACCCCCGCTTAGTGGGTTGAAGATTTTGCAACCATTTTTGGGGCAAAATTTGTCCCCCTCACAAACAAAATTGACGTGTTTTTGGATTTTTTGAAAAAAAAATACCCTGGCCGTTATGCCTTGCGGAACGTTTTCGATGGGCCACCCTGTATGTAAAATTATATAGGGAATGTCATCGATCGTCATTTCCAAGCCAACTGAACGCCGTTTTTTTTCGATCATACGGCAGTAGTACACCGATAAATGCTGGGATAATACCAAATATGTAGTAATATTGAAACAAAAGAAACGGGAAAGGCACAAGACCACAAAAAACGCATGAGCCTTGAATGTCTAGTTCTTGCTAGTGTTGCGTCTTGCACTAATCTGTCTTGGTCTTAATATTTGAGCTTATACGCTAGTCTTGGTTTTTGTGGTGTTGCTTTGTATGCTGGTCACTAAAGGCACCAGAAATACAGTTACATTGTATTACGAACCAAATTTTACAGCTGATTTTGGGAATCATAGAATCGGATATTTCTAGTATAACAATCAGTGGTCTTGTTAATAATTTCTTTTTTTTTTTAATTTCAGCCACACAGCCACCAGGTTACCTTCCCCCACAAATTCCTTCCATTCGTCCCCCAAGTCCTCCACCCTACCGTCCACCTCCCAGCCAACCACCTTCCTACAGACCACCATCACCTCCACCTTTCAGACCTTCTCCGCAACCCCCTCGACCACCACCATCTTATGTTCCTCCAACAAGCAGACCATCGCTACCTCCACAACGACCATCGTATAGGCCTCCTAGTCCTGCACCACCAAGACCGACTTATGGAACACCATCACCTCCAGGTAATATTTATCGCGTTGACATTTCACAGATTTTTAGTTTAAGTAGTAATATTTTTCGTATACAGGATGGTCCTAATTGTATTCCGGAAACTTCGACAGCATATTCTGCAAATAAAAATAAGTAAAAAAGTTCGTATAAACGTAAGTCCTAAAATGCTTAGTTTCGGAGATACAGGGTGTAGAAGTTTCATTTTTATTTCGATTTTTTCCAAATAATTTTTGAAGTAACGCAAATATTTGAATCAAAATTGGTGACTAGGAGTTTTTTAACATGAGAAATTTGATTTTGATATCAATATGACTCCTATTTGTAGGGGGCGCCACCTACACGTGTTCTAACTGTTTTGAAGAGTAATAACGTACGTAAGTAGTAATTCGTCCGTACCTGTATAAAACCACTGAGTGAAAAAATTTACATTTCCTTGATTTTCAACGTAAAAAATGTCTCTTGGTAAAAATCGCTGCGAGCAACCGTTCTCAAGATATTTAGAATGGAAATAGTCAATACATGTCATTATTGGCAAAAAATAAAAGTGTTGGGTAGATAAATTATTTGATTGAAGTGATAAATTTGGGAACTTTTTTTTTAATTAATCATAACTTTGTCTTCGAAAAAATGATGATAAAACAGTTTCTGTTAAACTTTTAGCACAAAAACATTTCAAATTTATGACTTCAGTCTAATAACTATTTAGTTAACATGTTTAATTTATGGCAAGTATTGATAATTTCGATTGAAAATATCTCGAGAACCATTGCTCGTAGCGATTTTTACCAAGAGACTTTTTTTACGTAAAAAACGTCGTAAATGTATATCTTTTACTCAGTACTTTTATACAGGTACGGACGAAAAGTTATTACTCTTCAAACCAGTTAAAAATTATGTAGGCGTCTTATTGACATCAAAATCAAATTTCTCATGTCAAAAAATCCTATACACCAATTTTTATCCAAATATGGACGTTACTTCAGAAATTATTTGGAAAAAATCAAAATAAAAATGAAATTTCTACACTCTGTATCTCCGAAACTAAGCATTTTAGGACATAGAATTATACGAACTTTCTTACTTATTTTTATCAGCAGAATATGCTGCTGAAGTTTCCGGAATACAGTTCGGACTATCCTGTATATTTCTGTTATTGACATATTAAGTTCTGTTCTAAAAGTATCGGTCGGAACAGTGTTCGAAAGATATTAATTGGATCATAGTTAAATCATTTTAACTAACTTATTTTATATCCAGAAGCTAAGTTATACCCGAGGTTATACCATTGCCGTAGCTAGGTTTTGATTTAGGATGGGGCAAAAAAGTGTCAAGTTAGAACTAAAATCTGGACCTGGACCAAAATCTGGTTATGCGTTACTCAACGAAACAGTAACTTCGTTTTAATATTAACCTGCGAGAGGCCTTGCTAAATCTCGACAAAATTTTATTTTTAAATTTATTTTTGCTTCTTGGGCCAATCTGAATCTCATCTATAAGACTTTGGCAACGACTATGTTGGTGTTTATGAAACCGGAAATTTTTGATTACTTTATGACCGACTACAGTTGAGGGTTGGAACCTTTGGTGTTAAACAGCAAAATATTGTGTTTTGGTGTATTGTGGTGATTTAGTGTTTTTATTTTGCTTTTTTTTTATGGCCGACCCTGTATACTTAAATTTATTACCCGCTAATAGATCTTTAAAAACCCTATAACTTTTATATTTAACTTTTTGCGGTACCTCTTATATTTTTATTACAATTGACCGTTTCCATACATATCAGCGACCCTGTATACAGGGTGGTCCGAATTGTATTCCGGAAACTTCGGCAACTTCGGATAAAAATAAGTAAAAAAGTTCGTATAAATCTATGTCCTAAAATGCTTAGTTTCGGAGATACAGGGTGTAGAAATTTCATTTTTATTTCGATTTTTTCCAAATAATTTCTGAAGTAACGTCAATATTTCGATGAAAATTGGTGCCTGGGAGTTTTTTGGCATGAGAAATTTGATTTTGATGTCAATATGACTCGTATTTCTAGGGGGCGCCACCTACATGTCTTTTAACTGTTTTGAAGAGTAATAAGTTTTCGTCTGTACCTGTATAAAACTACTGAATAAAAAAATATACATTTCTGTGACTTTTTACGTAAAAAAGTTCTCTTGGTAAAAATCGGTACGAAATATGGTTCTCGAGATATTTGCAACGGAAATCATCAATACCTGTCATCATTGACATAAATTAAACATGTTGAGTAAATAGTTATTAGACTGAAATCATAAATTTGAAATGTTTTTGTGACAAAACTTCCACAGAAACTGTTTTATCGTCATTTTTTCGAAGAAAAATTTATAATTAATTTAAAAAAATAAAAATTTCCTAAATTTACTATTTCAGTCAAATAACTATCTTCTAAACGTGTTTGTTTTTTCTCAATAATGACATGTATTGACTATTTCCGTTCTAAATATCTTGAGAACGGTTGCTCGTAGCGATTTATACCAAGGGTATTATTATAAGACGGAAATGTATATTTTTTTACTCAGTAGTTTTATACAGGTACGGACGAAAAGTTATTACTCTTCAAACAATTAAAACCCATGTAGGTGGCGCCCCCTACAAATATGAGTCATATTGACATCAAAATCAAATTTCTCATGTCAAAAACCTCACAGACACCAATTTTCATCGAAATAATGACGTTAATTCAAAAATTATTTGGAAAAAATCTAAATAAAAATGAAACTTCTACACCCTGTATTTCCGAAACTAAGCATTTTAGGACATACATTTATACGAACTCTTTTACTTATTTTTATCTATAGAATATGGTGTCGAAGTTTCCGGAATACAGTTCGGACCACTCTATTAACTAAAAACGAAAGAAAATAAAAACGGATATAATATATAATATTTATTTTGTAGGACCACGACCAAACGTACCGCCATCTGAAGGCCAACCGTTCCAAACATATGGCGAAGTATGTATTCTTTAATATATTCCAGTTAATAAACAAACTAAATAAATACTTTTTTACAGAATGACCATCTTCTAGTTCCACACAGTCCCGGAAATCCTTTCGATTTCAACTATGCAGTGAAAGACGAGTATGGCAACGACTATTCTCACAATGCCATCAATGACGGCGATACCACCAACGGAGAATATAGAGTACAGTTGCCAGATGGAAGAACCCAAGTTGTCAAATATGTAGCAAATTGGGCCAGCGGATTTAAAGCTAAGGTTGCTTATACCTGAATATACTATACAGGGTGTCGCATTTTAGTTGAAATCGTACGGTATCTCCGTTATTAGTGAAGATAATATAAGGGTGCGGTTTGCACAAACCTGTCCCACTTCTTTGTCAAACTGAAGATACCGTAAACGAAATTTCCATAGCCCTCTTCGTTTCTTCGTTTCTTCTCTAATACTTTTTGAAAATTTTGCAATTTGTGACTTTATTGAATTAGAACTTTTTACGTAGAATACAGTGGCGTACTCTGTTATTTTACGAAAAGAATATTTTTAAAGATATGAACTAAAGTTGGCTTGCCATAAGCTTCTCAAAAATATATGTCACTCTGTATTTATTTTTACTATTTACTGCAATATTTAAAAAAATATTAAAAGATCATATTTATTAGTAGGCCATGATTGATAATAAAAGAAACTAAAGAATTATTAAAAGTATACTGCTATCTGTCTCTTGTTTTATTTTGAGAGGCACTAATAAATTCTTTATGTATTACTCTGTGCCGCTATTTGTAAATCTTGGAAGCTATCGTATCGGAACTTTTAAATATTCCTTTAGCTAATTTACGTGAAATATACTTTCAGCAAGATGCTGAGGCTCTCCCTCACAACTTACTTACAACGAAAATATTAGAATTTTGTTAAATTACTATTTTTTAAATCAATGAATTGGAACCAATAAACCCATATGATTGCCTCCCTGATTCCCGGATTTGCCCTTTCTCAATTTCTGATTTTGGGGATTTTTGAAATATGAATTATATCGTGGCAACTAACACAATGTCGAACGCCTGGAAAATGCTTTAATAATGCAAGCTATTAGATATTTGCAAATCCATCCCGTTATAATAAATTCCGGTAAAAAAAATAAAAATATATTCAAATATTGAGTGGTAACAGTTCAAAAGTAAAATATATCAATTCCAAACAAAATTTGAATATGTGTATTACCACAGACTAACTTAAAGTATTACTATTTTAGTAAATACCATTTTGATTTTTTGTTATTTATCACGGCCTGCTAATAAGAAAATGATATATGTTAAATATTGCCGTAAATAGTGAAAATAAGTATATAGTGATATATATTTTTGAGAAGCTCATAGCAAGGCGAATCATGTGATTTATAAATATACAGGGTATTCCATTTGAAAAAACATAACTTTAGTTCATATTTTCAAAAATATTTTTTTCGTAGAAAAACAGACTACGCCACTGTATTCTGTGTAAAAAGTTCTACAAGAATCAGTTTTCGCCTTCTCTATATCATCCATAATAACGGAGATACAGGGGCTGTCCCAATTTGCAAAATTTTCCCCCTGTAGCTCAGAAACAAAAGACCCTGTAGCTCAGAAAGGAAGAGGGCTATGAAAATTTTGTTGACAGTATTCAGTTTGACAAAAAATTGGCACAGGTTTGTGCAAACCGCTTCCTCCTATCTTTAATAATAACGGAGATACCGTATGATTTCAACCAAAATGGGACACCTTGTACTTAATTTATAGTCCAGTAAATAAGGACACGAAAAGGCCCAAGTCTTTTGTCGACCTTGACTTTTTAGGCGGATTGTGTACCTTTCGGGGAGTGGTTTTAAGGGAAAAAAATTGTAATACCGTGCTCAGCCAGCTTTAGCCGAAAAAATATCCCCAAATTGCACAAAAAAATCAGTTTTTCGCAAATATCTGTCAAAATATGCAATTTACCAAATTTTTCTCGGAATAAAAAGATGAAGCTTAGGTAATTACCTACAAAAATGGTTCTTGTCATTTTTTACTTAGAATTGGTAGTTTTCGAGATATTCCGCCTCGAATATCAATGAATTTTCTCTCCCAATCTTAACGTCCAGGAGATAGATTTTATAAGCGTATCATTGATTGATAGGACAAATTGTTTAATGACTCGGCTAAAATTTAATATTTTTTGATGATTAAAAGTTCACTTAAAAGGTAAAATCAACAGCTATCACATTTTGGAACTAGTTTGAATTTTGTCATATTTCTTATGAAAATAAAAAAACCAGGCGAACATTCCTTAGCATTAAAATTTTCAGACTTTTACAAACTTATTCATATTTTCACTAATAATAGATTATTTGTCAAGTTATTTTTTAACAGTTGTTCTTAGAGTCTCTTTAAGCAACTTAGAAAATTTGAAGTATTTAAATATATTAATAATTAATAAAAAGTCAACAAAAAGTCACTTTTGAGTTATTCAGTATATTAAGTCAGTACAGTATATCAGTTTAATATTAATCCTTCTGATTTTTTTTTATTTTCTTGGGATTTAGGTTCGGGAAAACTCTGATTAAGTTTTCATTTGGTTTTTCATTATCTTTATTTGGTTTTTAAAGGGAACAAACGTTTGGGCTAACATTACAGCCTTCATCAGTGTAGTGTCTATAACAAAATACAATTTCAATTTACTAATGACAAAAATCCATGTTAATTTTTTTTGAGAAAACATATTTATACAAATCACGATTACTCACGAATACGTAGTTAAAATTAAAAAGTCAAGTAGTTTATATACAAAAAAAACCTTAGAAGCTTAGTGTAACCACGGATTATACAGATTATAATCTTTGTTTTTTCTTTATTGTTTTTCGTGGTTCCAATTTTCGGAATCGGGCACTAGTTAGGTGACTAGTTTGCGCGCATAGCACGCCCACTTATGGCCTCTAAAATTGTGCACAGCGCCTGACCGGTACAGTTATTAGAGAGATATCGGAAAACCGAATAGCGTCATCCAGTATTTACGCGTACCTTATCATGGTTACGATACGCGCGAGTCAATTTTTAACGCAACACCCGCTAATAACGTTACCGCCTGACGTAATTTGCGGATCAATTACACCAAGAGCTCTTTCTAAATAACCTCTGATAACGTTTAAAAATTGCTTAAATAGGCATGTGCGGGTATTTGACAACCGGAGCCGGCCGGCGAGATCTTTTATTTTAGGTTATGTTTATGTTTGAATTGTTTTGAATTATTGCTTTAGTTTTATTAGGTAATTTGATATTTAAGTAGCTGGGATTAGTTTTAATTAAATAAATATGGCACAATATGGATTCCACCTCTTCCAATACTAAAGAACCTATAAAGAGTCTTAGGTTTACAGCAGATGACGACTTAGCCCTTCTAAGAGAATTTGTTGCTTGTTGTCCTAAACCCACTGGCAGACGTTGAACAATAAAGCACTGGAAATAAGCACTTTAGCCCTTTAGTTTTAAAATACCTAGTAAACAAAACAATTTCAAAGTTTTAAATTCAAAGTTAGGTTAAGTTTAAATCGCGATCAGAATTCTTTCCGATCCGATAACTATAAATGAAGAGAGTTAATACTACCTCACGTAAAGGAAATAACACCTGGCCTTATTAACGTCCATGCACGCTATTCGGTTTAGCGATATCTCTCTTATTACTTATTACGCTGTTTATTCTTATTTTCCGCGAGTTTCTTTTTGCGCACAGGAAATTTGACTCGTTTGCACATCGTCATAAAAAAAAACAATTTTCGTACCACGAATTAGGGATAAGATTTTTATCTGTATACTTATAGGATACCTAATCTGTGGTGTGACAATGTTTATGTTATAAAAACAATAATTCTTTACAAAACATTTTTTCCCCATACTTATTTACCTGCTATTGAAAGTTAAAAACAAAATCTCACAACACTTACTAAATCAAAAAAATAGTGTCGAACATAATCCAAAAATTACATACAAAATATTCACAACACACACAACATAATGTTTACTACAATTAATAAACTAATATAAACTTGTCAAAAGATGACCACATATTTTTTAATATTAATTATACAGGGTGTTTCAAAAAACATGTGCCAACTCCCGTGGGGAGATTTCTCGCATAAAAACAAGATTTATTTTTCAAATCAACATAGATCTGATTCTGCTTTGTTTCGTAGCTACAGGGTGTTAAAGTCTTAATAATCTTTCGATTTATTATACTTTTCTTCCAAGTACTTTTAGTGATTCAAATGAAATTTTGAGGATAAAAGTTACTATAAGTGCTACATATTTTAATGCTGAAAAGTGTCGATAAATTCATCGGGGACGTGCATATGGGTTATTACTGGAATATTTTTCTAAAAAAAGCATGTACGCCACTGACTCCTTTTCTCTTGTTAGCGAAATAATGTAAAGAGTTTAATGCCGATTAAAAGTTGTCTCTTGATATTTTGTCGATTTGGTTTGGTTTAGTTTGGTTTGGTTTTGTAAATAATTTCATACGAAACGCTAAAAGTAGGTACATGGAAGAAAATTATAATAAATCGAAAAAATATTAAGACTTTAGCACCCTGTAGCTACGAAACAAAGCAGAATCGGACCTATATTGATAGGAAAAATAAATCCTAATTTTACGTGAAGAATCTCCCCATTCTGAGATGGCACATGTTTTTTGAAACACCCTGTATTATATTGGTATTGCTATACCGGGTGCGTCTCAAAAGTGGCTCACACCTATAACTTTTTAATTTTTTCGGATAAAAAAACGAGATTTAGTATGTCAGTATATGACATAAATTGGGATTGATTGAAATATTCAATTGTGTTTAGTTCCACTAAACACTTCCTGTTTCACCGGAAATTATCTACTACAACTTTTGATGTTTAAATGGCACCCTAGGTATTTTTTTTACTTAATTCGATAGAAAATGGCACTGTGAATAGAATGACGTATGTCAACTTTTGACATTTTCTCATATGGTTTATTTGAAAGTGTAACATGCCGTTCATAACGATAATTTGACTCGAAATACCAAGTGTGTGGTACCAAATTATTCGTAAAAAAATACTATTTTTTAAGCGAAAATGTCACAAGTTGACCTATGATATGTCATTCTATTCAGAGTGTCGTTTTCTATCGAATAAAGTAAAAAAATACCGAGGATAAAAATCAAAAGTTGTAGTCATTTCCGGTGAAACAGGAAGTGACCAAAAATAATTGAATACGTCAATCAATCCCAATTTATGTCATATACTAACGTAACAAATCTCGTTTTTTTATCTGAAAAAATCAAAAAGTTATAGGGTTTTGCCACTTTTGAGACGCCACCCGGTAAATAACATCATAACTCTACCGAACTAAATTTGAAATAAACCATTGATTATATATCATCAGTTTGGTAAAGGAAACTATTTCTAGTAAGTAGTAAAAGAATAATTTTCTACCTCTATGAAAATTCATAAAAAAAGATTGGCATTTTTTACTTAGGTTTTCTTAGGAGAAAGCAAATCATTTTGTTTTACAATTTTAACCATGCTGCCCAAATGTTAAAAATTATACTCTGTAATAATCCAACAAAAATATCAAACTTAAATTGTGAGCTCCTTAAAATGTATACATTTTTTTAAGGAAATATAAACCTTAAAAAAATTTATAAAAAAAAATAAAATTTAAAATTATAAAATTTAAATCATCATTATTAATGTATCCCATTTTCAGATAAGTTATGAAGGTCAGCCTACGTATAGACCTCAACCTATACCCACCGGACCTCAAAGACCTACTGGGCCTACTGGACCAACTGGACCTGCCAGACCACCTGGACAACAATATACACCAAGCGGAGGCTATAAATATTAAGCGAAATACAAATTAAGTTTAAATTAAATAAAGACAACTGCAGAATGTATTAACGTTAAGTGAGGAAAGAAAAGAATGAAAAAAAAGTTCCATTTATAATAATTTTGAAGTGAGAAAAATAAGTATTGTTTAATTTTAGAAACGATAAATATAGAAAAAAAATGACGTCAGGGATGGCTTGGAAATAACGGTCGCTGTCGTTTTATTTGTAAAATTATATGGTTATTGTCATCGATCGTCATTTGCAAGCTAACTTGACACCAATTCTTTTCAATGATAGGGTGTATTTTTGTATTAATGCATATAGTAATGATTTTGTATATACCTAGGCACTTTTTTACAATTTTGTAATTAGGATATAAGAAGCGAGATCTTGAATTTACTAGAATATAAAAATCTTGACACTAACTGCAAAATAAGTTGTAAATAAAAAAAATAAACATAAATAATCATACTGTATTACAGTACGTCTGTCCGTTCTGTAGCTACGGGGTATCCGTGAGAGGGGAAACGATATTCTCTCGATGTTTTTCGTAAAAAATTAGACGACACGTCCCATCAATAAAAATTGAACAAATTTGCAAGTAGCCAATAAAATGAGTGGGCGGAGCAATTTGCGGTGACGTACTCGTCAAGTCGACGTATAAAATATATTGCTGTTTATTTAAATGTTTTTTGTCCGCATTCCATTCATAGACACAGAGCCGGCAGACGTACTGTATTTGATTTGATATTAAAGTGCGGTACCATCTAATTAAAACATTTTCAAAAGTTTATAAAGAAATTTTTAATGCTTTAAATAATAGAAAAATATCTACAGTGTGATCAAAAAATTTTACGATCAACTCTGTTCCGTATGCTGACGGATAAACAATTTTATGGAAAATTTCATTAGAATTTTTTACCTGTCACACTTAAAGCTTACTTGATATAATTTTTTTTATTGTTCGGTATATTAAGGTGCGCAGTATTAAGTGATGGAGAAAAAGATATTTTTAAGTTTTTATAATATACAGGGTGTCCCAGAAATAAGTGCAAATATTTTAAGGGGTGGTAGATCTCGATAAAAGAAACATATTTTCTTTTTATCGTTTTTCAAATAAGTCCAAAATAACGGAGTTATTTTGCTTTGAAAATTTTCAAAAAAAAATATTTTTTGCTAAAATTTTGAAAACCACTGGATCTTTTCTGGATTTCCTTTCTTGTAAATTTAATCTAATACCTATGTTGCCGTATTATCAAGAAATTATGTTTTTTAACTAAAAACTAAAAAAAATTCCAAAAAATTTTTCAAAAAATTTCGAATTTTCAAAATTTTTTTTTCGTGAAAAAAACCTCATAGGCGTGTTTCTGGGGTTGAACTATACTACCAGTTAAAATATTTGCACTTATTTCTGGGATACCCTGTATATGTCTTTAATGCGATGAATAATAGAAAAGTCTGGTGACTGAGACATAGAACTTAATAATAGACTATTTTTCAACTGCCATTCAAAATAAATAGTATTTTTTAGTATAACTTGGTATTTTTATTTGCCTAAATTGGCCTAGGTTTAAAAATTGTGATTTAAAATTGAGTGAAGTCAAAAATAAAAAACTAACAGACCATTTTTTATCAATAAAAAAATTAATATTGAATAATGAGTAAAGTATGTCCAAAGAGTCCGAAAAGATTTCGACAAACGACATCCAAAAAATTACAGAAAATACAATGTACAGAATGGACCAAATTGTTCACTTTTAAAGGGAAATGCCCTTTTCTATACGAGATAGACCAAAAATAATATCGGTTTCTCAATTTTTATCAAAAATATGATGGTAAAAACCGCATATCGATATCCGTTTTTTTTCGGAGTACACGGGTGTTTTTCAAAAATGTACATTTTTAACAAATCGCTGTAACTTTTTTGCAATGGAAAATTTTATATTTTTGTGAAAACATTTCCAAAGCACCTTTTTACATAGAATTTAATGGTTTAAGTGTATTTTTTTAAATGAATACTTTAGAAGTTATCAATAGTAATTTACAATAATTATACACTGTCAATTTTAAAACTTCCCACCCTTAATATCTTTCTTGCAGTTAAAAATATGAAAAATCGGAAAAACACGTCAATTTTATTTGTAAGGGATTTACAAGATTAAAAAACACAAACACATTTGTAAGGGGGACAAAAGACTAAAATAAATAATTTTAGTCTTTTTCTTTCAACCCCCTAGGAGGGGTAGATCTTAAATGGGAATGGGGGTTATGTGGCACATCGTTTTAAAGGGCGTTTAATTATTATTTCAGTGGTATCCTACTTTGTTGCCTTTTGTCCAGAGTTTTCCGAATAATCGCGTTTCAAAGTTGCAGCATTGAGATTTCGGTTTTCATGTTAGTGTTTACACAAAAATTATTGCAATGGATCTCCTTGTAGTACAAATGATTAGAAGATTAGGTTACACCACTTACGCCCTATCTTATAAGTTCAAAATGTCGTCCATTTTCCTGTAAACAAAACATAAAGTCTGTTTTCAAACTCCTTTATAACATTTCGGAAAACTTTACCGGGAATTGACTGGCATTCTGCTTTAATTCGCCTCTTAAGTTCATTAATACCAGTAGGTTGTGTTTTATAAACAATGGATTTAAGATGTCCAAAAAGAAAAAAGTCTAAGGGTGTTAAATCCGGTGATCTTGGAAGCCATTCAATTGGTCCCCTTCTGTCAATCCATGTACCCGAAAACCTCTTGTTTAAGCTCTGCCGGACCGGAGGGAGGCAGAGGAGGGCCATGTCCCCCCTTCCCCCCTGGAAGTTACCACTCATTCGAGTTTGAGAAAAGAAACGATAATGTTTATTATGTTTTCTGTTTATTAGTATTTCGACCCCCCTAGAAAAATGTAATGGCTACGTCCATGTTGCCACCTGATCTTCTAATCATTTGAACTACAAGGAGACCCATTGCAATAATTTTTGTGTAAACACTAGCCTGAAAACCAAAATCTCAATGCAAGCATGTTTAATTGTTTCTGCAACTTTGAAACGCGATTATTCGGAAACTTCTGGACAAAAAGCAACACAGCAGGATACCACTGAAAAGATAATTAAACGCCCTTTAAAACGATGTGCCACTTGACCCCCATTCCCATTTAAGATTGTAAGAATGACATCTACCCCTCCTAGGGGTTTGAAAGAAAAAGGCTTATAATATTTATTTAAAGTTTCCCCCGTTACAAATAAAATTGACGTGTCAATTTTTCATATTTTTAACTGCAAGAAAGATATTAAGGATGGGAAGTTTTAAAATTGACACAGTGTATAATTATTGTAAAGATCTCAATTACCCTTTCAAAAATATAGCATACTTAATATTTTGCTCGATTCCTCTTCGAGATATAAAGTTTATAAAAATATACCCACTCAGGTACACCCACCCAAGTAGGCTTTAAACGGCGCCGGTCATAATGTAAAAAAATGCTTACCGGTAGCTGTCAGCAGCAATTAAAACGAAAATAATATTTGCAATTAAAGATGCAGAATTTTATAACAATTTACACAACCAAACCAAACCATATTTAGCAACAACACATTTAAACTATATATAATAACAATAATAATAAATAACAAACCAAGATTTTAGAGACAGAAGGTGTTCGAAATGGTGACGGTCTTCTCTTATGCACAGACGGCACCGTTTCTCAGTGGGAATGAAAGAAACCCTAGCATAATAAGAAACTTTAGGCTTCCTCAAAGCACAGAATATCTAGCTACGCAACAGAAGCCTCGTTACATGTATAAAATTGTAGGTAGCAAAAGGAGACAGGCTTTAAAAGTCTGTCTCCAAATCAGATATTTTGATGTGGTAGTTTCGCTACTACATAATAGAGGGCAATAAATTTAAAAGAAAACAGTTTTCTACAAACAAAATTTAAAAGAATTTTGTGCAGTGTTGCCATTGTGTAATTCATATCGTAATACTTCCTGATAAAGCCTACCTTCAAATTTGCTACATCATTTAAACATATTAAAATAGATCTTATGAGCTAAATTACAATCACTTCCTGACGTTTGATTGTATAATTGAATCCTGAATTTTCATTGTAATTCGGCGACAATATAATAAGTATTGTTCTACTATTATGATACCACTTCCTGACGTTCGATTGTGTTCATACCAAGTTCATATTGTATAATCGGGAAAAAACGGCGTTAGCGATAGCTATGAAATGAATATCACTGTCATTTTATATGTAAATTTATATGGGAAATGTCAGCGATCGTTCTTTTCCAGCCAACTGGAAGCCGTTTTTTTCAGAAGCATATCAAGTGATACCATAATATAGTACTATATTACGATACATGGCGTTCGATTGGGCTTAAACTTGGTATACTATATCTTCAGTGACATTGTAATACCATGGTACCATGGAGCATATAAAGTGGTACCTTCTATAGTACCATATTTGATGACATAGCAATATTAGGTACATGGCGGCAATAGGGCTTAAACTTGGTATACTACGTATTTTCGGTGACATTGTAATATGATGGTACTATGATGCATATCATCTGGTACCATAATATAGTACCATATTATGTACATAGCGTTCGATTGGGCTTAAATTTGGGATACTACTTATCTTCGGGGATATTGTAATATTATGGTACCATGGAGAATAATGAGAAATAAGAGGTACCATAATATAGTACCATATTACGATACAATTTCCTGGCGTTCGATTGGACTTAAACTTGTTATACTACGTATCTTCGGTTACATTGTAATATGATGGTACTATGATGCATATAAAGTGGTACCTTAATATAGTACCATATTTCAATACCATTTCCTGGCGTTCGATTGAGTACATATCTGATATATACTTGCGCATTTTTGATGACATTGCATTATTATGGTACCATGAAGCATATAACTGGTACCATAATATAGTACTATATTACGTACATGGCGTTCGATGGGGCTTAAACTTGGGATACTACGTATTTTTGGTGACATTGTAATATGATGGTACTATGATGCATATAAAGTGGTACCTTAATATAGTACCATGTTTCAATACCATTTCCTGGCGTTCGATTGAGCTCATATCTGATATATACTTGCGTATTTTTGATGACATTGCATTATTATGGTACCATGAAGCATATCAACTGGTACCATAATATAGTACTATATTACGTACATGGCGTTCGATTGGGCTTAAACTTGGGATACTACGTATTTTCGGTGACATTGTAATATGATGGTACTATGATGCATATAAAGTGGTACCTTAATATAGTACCATATTACGATACCATTTCCTGGCGTTCGATTGGGCTCAAACTTGGTATACTACGTATCTTCGGTTACATTGTAATATGATTGAACTATGATGTATATAAAGTGGTACCTTAATATAGTACCATATTACAATACCAT